GCTCTGATGAAGCTCTATCCATCAGGCCCACCAATCAGTACCCCACCCACCCCACACACACACACACACACACACACACACACACACCCGGACCTGGAGCACCAATTCATCTGAAAAAGTGATATCAGGACATACAAAAATGGTTATAGCTCAAAAACTATTAAACATAGGAGCTTCAGATTTCTTTTGTTGTTTAGCTCTTATGAGGGGCTATCCATCAGGTCAACAAATGCCCCGCCCCGCCCCCCCAAAAAAAGACCCCCTCCCAAGCCACTACGATTTTGGGATGCACCTAGTAGCATGACATTTATCAGGAATAAAGACTTCTGAGTTCTGGTGCATTTCTGCGTGCGGGGGTCATTATCTAGTTTTAACACTGATCATTATCAAACAAATAAAATAATAAAAACAGTTTTTTCTCATTCATGAAATGAAGCGTTTTTATTTATTTATTTTTCAAAATAAGAGCCTTTGGGTCAGCTTTATCCAAACATCAGATTAAAGTTTATTCAGACTTTGCTTCAGTTTTATTTGTGTTTAAGTGACGCACCAACAGATGTGTGTGTGAATTTATTCTGACTTTCATTCTGTCAGAGTGAATAAATTCAACATATTTCCTGTTTCCAGCTGAGGATCAGGAGTTTCTCTGCTCTAAAGTTGCATTTGTTAAGAAACAAATGTTGACTTCAGTTCATTGGTTCAGGAAAAAGTAAAACATGTCAAAATAAATCGTTGTTTTCTCTTGTTTAAGTGTTTAGATGAGATGTTTCCACTGTTACGCACTGTTTACATCAGTACTGTGTTTTAACTGTTTATGAAAACTGAGCTGTTGGTTCAGACCTGATCAGTGATCGGTTATTGATCTGCAGCTTCTGCTTTTTAATGTCGTCTATTTCTGAAGGTGTGAAGAAGAAGAAGAGCAGCAGCTTTTGTTTCTATAGTGATGAAAAGTAAAAATACCCCCGTCTGTCCCTAAGCAACAGCAGGCCGACCAATCAGGTCCTCCCACAGGTGAGAGCACAACTCTGGTGTCCTGGCTGAAAGGCATGCTGGGAAACGGAGTCAAACTCACATCGAAGACGGTTTGTTTTTTATTCTCTGTTGTTTTATTTCCTCCTCTGATGGAAGCTAGCTGTTAGCTAACAGCAGCTGCCTCTGAAAAGACTTTAAGATCCTGTTTTTAAAGTTATTTAAAGTTTTAATTGCAGTTTGGTGACTTTGGGCCCAGGGCTGTGTTTGATTCTTGTTTGGTTTAAATGATCCTGTGCTGCCCCCTGCAGGCCTGGACCTGTTGGTGCACCGAGTCCAGCTGCTGAGTAAAAACTCCTCTAAAGATTTTATTTCTGATTGAACAAATAATAAACTCCGGTTTTAAGTNTTATCACTTAATTAATTTGTTTATTTAGTTATATTTAATAAAACAAAATTTTTACCTTGTTTATTTATTGTATTTTGAGTAAAACAGCTGTCCGTAGACGTGTGGGGTCCAAAGTACTGGGCTAAAATGATTACTGTGACAGTTTGGATCTGTTCTTTTTTGTTTGTTTTATATTACTGTAATTATTTTATTTGCATCCTTTATTGACACTGTGCTGTTCAATAATGCACAGTTTGATCCACGTTTAGATCTGCCTGACTCTGTCTTGTCTTGTGCTTGAACACACACTTTGGACCAATACGCAATTTTTCCTTTTTTTTTCTCCATCTCATTAATACACCAGTTGGCTGACAGCTTATTTGATTGTTTTGGTTCTTAGTCATTTATTTTCTATTGTTTGATATTTATCTGTTCCTTTTCTTTAATTCTGAAAAATATAAGTAAAGTTTTTAAAAAAAGAAATCATTGAGTCAACATGAGAGGAGCCACACTGTGATTGGTTAAAAAAGACATTTATTTACAAAACTTCTCCATCGATGAAAAACAACCGCGTAAAAAAAAACACGTGGACATCGAACTTCCTGTTTTACAGAGAACGATGGTTACGTATTGTAACCCAAGCTTCTATGAGTGTAAGCTCCGCCCTCTAAGGCTATCGATAGCCTTAGAGGGCGGAGCTTACACAAAATAGAAGCACAAATAAAACGACACGACAGTCACACGTTCACCGACCAATGACAGCTCAGGTGAGAGGCCCGCAGGTCATGTGACCTCAGAGGGTCATGTGACCTCAGAGGGTCATGTGACCTCAGAGGGTCATGTGACCTCAGAGGGTCATGTGACCTCAGAGGGCCACAGCAGCTTTAAAGGAACGTTCCAGCACTTTCACGTGTTCCATGTGATCAAACAACTGGTTCTTTGATCCGATCGGATGAATCTTCTCCGACAGGATGAAGGTCAGTGCTGAGTCATCAGAAAGGATTTGTTTCTTTGTTTGGAAACCTTCAGGGTAAGTGCAGAACCTGAACCGGAGCAGAACCAGAACCTGAACCAGGAGACTGGAGACAAGATGTGATGATAAGGACTTTCAGCTGATTTATTCAAAGCAAAATCTCCTTCATTTTTTATCTTTTATCCGTCATGATGGTACAAATCTTTTTATTTCATCTGTTTTTCAGCACAAATCTCGTTCTGAAATAATTGTGATATTTCAACATTTAATACTGCGGGTAAAATAAGTATTGAACACGTCAACATTTTTTCTCAGTAAATATATTACTAGAGGTGCTAATGACATGAAATTTTCACCAGATGTCGGTAACAACCCAAGTGATCCATACATACAAAGAAATCAAACCATAAATGTCCAGAAATGAAGTTATTTGTAATAATGTGGAATGGCACAGGGAGAAAGTGTTGAACACATGAAGAAAGGGAGGCGTAAAAAGGCATGGAAAGCCAAGACACCAGCTGAACTCTCTCAGTAATTAGAAAGCAAGCCTGCCCCTTGTCAGTGCAAGTTAATATCAGCTGGTTCAGTCCCAAATGATGGCCAGGTATCACACAAGAACCATCTGATGATGGGTAAAAGTAAAGAGCTCTCTCAAGACCTTCACAACCTTATTGTTGCAAAGCATAATGATGGCATCGGTTACAGAAGAATGTCTAAACTTCTGAAGGTTCCAGTGAGCACTGTTGGGGCCATAATTCAGAAGTGGAAAGAACATRATTTCACCATAAACCGACCACGACCAGGTGCTCCTCACAAGATTTCTGACAGAGGAGTGAAAAGAATTAGCAGAAGAGTTGTCCAAGAGCCAAGGACCACTTGTGGAGAGCTTCAGAAAGACCTAGAATTAGCAGGTACGATTGTTTCAAAGAAAACAATAAGTAATGCACTGAACCACCATGGCCTGTATGCACGCTCACCACGCAASACTCCACTGCTGAAGAAACAGCATGTTGAAGCTCCTTTAAAGTTTGCTGCACAACATTTAAACAAGCCTGTGTAATACTGGGAGAATATAGTCTGGTCAGATGAGACCAACATTGAACTGTTTGGATGCCAGAATACACATCATGTTTGGAGGTCAAATGGCACTGCACATCAGCCCAAAAACACCATACCAACAGTGAAGTTTGGAGGTGGGAACATCATGGTGTGGGGCTGTTTTTCAGCATATGGTACTGGCAAACTTCAAATAATTGAAGGAAGGATGAGTGGAAAAATGTACAGAGACATTCTTGATAAAAATCTGCTTCCATCTACCAGGATGATGAAGATGAAACGTGGCTGGACATTTCAGCAAGACAATGAGCCCAAACACAAAGCCAAGGAAACTCTCAGTTGGTTTCAGAGAAAGAAACTAAAGCTGCTGGAATGGCCCAGCCAATCACCTGACCTGAATCCAACAGAAAATCTATGGAAAGAACTAAAGATCAGAGTTCATAGAAGAGGTCCACGAAACCTTCAAGATTTGAAGACTGTTTGTGGAAGAATGGGCCAAAATCACACCTGAGCAATGCATGCCACTAGTTTCTCCATACAGGAGGCGTCTTGAAGCTGTCATTGACAACAAAGGCTTTTGTACAAAGTATTATATAAATTTCAGTAAGTGTGTTCAATACTTTTTCCCTGTGCCATTCCACATTATTATAAATAACTTCATTTCTGGGCATTTATGGTTTGATTTCTTTGTATGTATGGATCACTTGGGTTGTTACCAACATCTGGTGAAAATTTCATGTCATTAGCACCTCTAGTAATATATTTACTGCGAAAAATGGTGACGTGTTCAGTACTTATTTTACCCGCTGTGTATCTAAACCTTCACCTCCATCAGGCTATAACTTCTGATGTTTCAGCTATTTATACTTTTGAGATATTAAGCTTTTTAATAATAAATGAAGCTGTTTTCAACATTCTTAAAACCTTTAAAATAATTATCAATCTTTACTGCACTTTTTACTTTTGTTATGCTTGTTTTTTTTATATTTTTGTGCTTCTTTCAGATTCTTTTGGATGATTTCAGCTGTCTTCTGTTTTTAGCTACTTCGAGCTTTTAATCTTATCATTTTGTGATAATTTTAGCTTCTTACTGCTTAATTTAGCAAACATACTTTGTTTCTTTGTGCTAATGTAAACTATTTGTGCTTCATTCAGCGTTTTGATAAATTCATGTTTTTTTGTGTTTTTAGCTACCTTTTTTAGCTAATTTGAGCTTTTAAAATCATATTTTTGTAAAAATTTCAACTTTTTTGATAATTTTAGATGTTTTCTGTGTTTTTAGCTAATTTGAGCTTTAAAACTCTCATCTTTTTTTATCTCTTTGAGATAATTTCAGATTATTTTCTGCTTAGCCTTCAGAGATGCCAAATTGCTTTCTTGCTCTTTCCAGAACCTGCCCCTCCTACCCTGCTTTGCTGCTTTTTCAAGTCTTCTTTCTACCTACCATCTGAAACAAAAATAAATGATGGATTTGGTCAACTGGTCTCTGAACATAATTGACACTATTTTTACCACATTAAGATTAGATTGAGGGGAACAAAGCTGTCTGAGTGGAACGGTAGCTGCGGGGTGGATCAGTGGTTCTTGGGGATGTTGGAACCTGATGTGTCTCGTACCACTTTCCATTGAAGATGTGGAAGATTTGTATATATTTGGATTTATGATAACTGGATTTCTGCTGATCGGAGGAGGTGGAGTCCTGATTTATCGAAAAGTGAAAGCGACCCTGACAGCAGTACGGGCCGTTGAGAAGCTGTCGGGCGCAGTGGATGGACTCTGCCGGGGTGGGGGAGCACAGACTCAGTGTTTTGGGGAGGTAAATCACCAACTAGATGTGGTTCTGACGAGAATCGCAGCTCAGGAGCGAGCCTCTTGCATGTAGGATTATATCTGGGTGAAGCTCCAGACGGCGAGAGGCAAGGAGATCCCCGAATTTGGCTTATGTGGAACTTTTTTTGCCACTTCAGAGGTGCAGTTAAGACTAAAGGAGCAGAAAAAGTCAAGGCTGCTTTGTTCCAAAACAATTGTGTTTATCTATTCGGTTCCCAGCTGCTGGGCCTCGAAGGCCATGCTTATCTAAACTCCCCTGGATGTTAAGTCAACAAAGGCTTGATTCCCCCCTCCCATCCCCATCACCCGTGCGGGAGCCGGCCTGGACCCAAGGCCGAGGAGGAGGAGGAAACGCTGAACTCTGATGAACCGAGCATGGAGATAACATCATTGACTCTGGTGGGAGCTGGTGACGGGCTCTATCACAGAGATCTACCCTCAGTAGTCATCCAATTCTAATTCGAATTTTGAGCAAATTTTTAAAATTTCGCAAAAAGGAAAGAACGAATAAATGTGAATCAGACGTGTTTCCATCAACTGGCTTGAAGCGAATCAGTTACGTCAGACGCAGGCGTGTAGTAAACAGGAAGTAAAAGTCGCATCTCAGGAAAATGGAGAGAAGTTATCAGGAAAGTGTTGCTACTATCGGGAAAGTTGTACTTATTCTGTCATATCAACTAGTTTTGGCGATTTTACATGCAGTCGGGAGACATAGAGAAAGAAATGCAATTATTTTCACGTTACGGGAATCACTGAGAATAGGCCGACAGCGGGATGAGGGACCTGCAGTCGCTCTGGTACCGCTACCATTCAGACAGAGAGAATAGCTGATCAACTATGTGAGGTAAATGTTTGCTAAGTCAGAACTTATTCGACAAATATGTTTCCATCTCTCCTTTTGAGCACTAACTCTTTTCGAAAAATCCAAAAACCACCTCACGCGAGCGTATCAACTTTCACGCAAATTAGAGGAAGTTTTTTCGAATCATGCCGTTTCCATTCACCTTTTCTGATGCGATACTTCAAAATGCGCTTTAAAAACGTTGATGGAAACATGGCTAATGTCACCAGCTCCACTGAACTGACCCCCCACCCCCACCCCCACTCACATGACCTGATCCAAGCTGCCTCCCCGTCCCAGTCTGCTCTGTTACGAGTGATTTTTTGTGCATATGACTCTGTTTCTGATGTAAACACCAGGATCAGAGCAATTTTTTAAACTCAACTTCCCTACTGTGTATTTCCAGCTGCAAGAGGTAGCGCCACCTGGTTGCGCATGACCCGCTCCCCCATGTTTGTTATGTGTGTTTAAAAAGAATGGGTGTTCTTAACTGCAAGTTCCTACTCTGTGAATGTTCATTGACAATGGCAATAAAACTGATTCTGATTCTTACTGCGTGATTTAGCAAAAGAACTCTTTCTGTTTCTTTGAGGTAACTTAAACTCTTTGTGCTTCTTTTGGATTCTTTTTAATAATGTCAGTTGTTTTCTGTGTTTTTAGCTAATTTCAGCTTCTAAACTCACCTTTTTGTGGTAATTTCATCTTCTTACTGCTTAGTTTAGCAAACGTACTCCTTCTGTTTCTTTGTGCTAATTTCAGTTACTTTTTAAGCTGTTTTTAGGATAGTTTCAGCTCCTTTTTTAGGTATTCAGCAACCATACTTTAAGCATGTTGCATTTAAATGCTAATTATTTAGCTTGATCTTAAAATTACATAAATAATGACCTCAGATGAACAGTGCAACCCATCCAAGATGGCCGACACGTCACGTTAGAACAAACAAAAAATGGCTCCAGCTCAGTTTGTGTCACAGAGAATGAGCTGAAGTTTGAGGTGGTTGTAGCTGAGAGTCATCCCGAACGCATCTCATGGTTCTGAACGACTAAAATGGTCAAAATCAGACAGTTTTAGTGAAACGCTGGCAGGAAAGGCAGCTGAAGGAACGTTGTGCCTTTATTCCAACATGGATTCATTTAATGAACCGAAACTCAAACATGTTTCCTTCAACGTTCTGTTCTGATCAGAGTTTCTGGATTGTCAGAAAAAGTTCTGCTGAAAACAGCCGACAGACGTCACATCCAGTCGCTGCAGGAGGGCGGGGACTCCTCCTCTTCCTCACAGCTCCAGGTGTGTGCAGCTGTGGAGGGTCAGGTGTAAAAAAAAAGTTTCAGGTTTTTAGAAAAATGACCCAAAACCAGCAAACATCCACCTTATCCAAAGCGATAAGAGTAACCAGTGACGTTCTGACGAGGCTCCACTGTGGTCACATGACTTACACACCTGCACAGGTACGCAGCCGGCCTCGGTCCCAGACGTGACATCATCAGGTGACGTCACTCCACAGGAACGCCATCCACGCTCTCCTGGGAGACCTCCGAGTCTAGGGAGTAACAGGAGCTGCCGTTGTCCTGAGCGTCCCTGTTGGCGTCCTCAGGGAGGGCGGCGGTGGAGGCCCCGCCCCCTCCCTCTGCGCCGCCCTCACAGAAGTGGGCGGAGCCCTGGAAGAGCTGGCTGCAGAGGCGGTTGTAGCGGTGGAAGCGCCCGGGCTTGCCGGTGTGGCTGTACATGTGTTCCTGCAGCTGGCTCTTGTGGGCGAAGCGCAGGCTGCACACGGCGCAGGCGATCCTGCGTTTGCGCGAGTGCAGGACCACGGGGGCGGGGCTAGTCCCGCCGCCTGCCCCCCGGCTCCGCCGCAGCTCCGCCGCCAGCTGGTTGGCGAGCGCCTGACTCTGTCTCAGCGCCTCCTCCAGACAGCCCGCGTCCAGCTGCTCCCGGGCCCCCGGAGGCCCCTCCTCCGCGCCGGCATCCAGCCCCTCCATGAGGCGGGCGGGGTCGAAGGCGTGGCTAAACAGGTGCTCCCGCAGGCCCTCAGGTGAGGAGCAGCGCTCCCCACAGCGAGGACACTGCAGGACCAGGGGCCGGTCTTTGAAAATGGACCCCTGACCGGGGCTGCTGCCCTGCGCGGGGGACAGAGACTCCAGTCCGGGCCCCTCCTCCCCCTCGCCGTCCTCCTCCTCCACTCGCTCCTGCTTGATGCGAGCCGAGACGTCCGCGCTGTCTCCGGACGCCACCGAGCAGACGTTCCGCACCCCCGACACCTGCAGGTCCTGAGGGACCCCCTCCAGTCCCACAGCCAGGGACAGCTGGGAGTGGGACCGTAGGCCCCTGCCAGAGGACTGCCCGTCTTCGGGGGCCCCGCGGGACACAGTGGTGGTCTTGGGGACGCCGGGCGTCTCCTTGTTGGCCAGCTGAGAGGAGATCTGGATGCCGTACAGGTTGGACATGCGGACCACGTCGGTGGTGGCGTCGGGGGTCCCCTCGCCGGGCTTCCTGCACAGCTGGTAGGCGTGGAGGAACTTGATCCCATCCTGGAGCCGGCTCTGGTCCACGGGCTGTTTGGGACACGTGCCGGTGTACATGATGTGCAGCAGGTAGCTGAAGACGTCCGGCTGGATGTCCGTGGGCTGGATCTTTATGCACTCGCTGCGGACACAGAGACAGGGTCAGGACCAGGACCTGGATCAGAGCGGAGCAGGTGCGCGTGCTCTCTCACCTGGACTGGTGGATGAAGATCATCTTGAAGTAGTTGGAGAAGGAGGCCAGCACGGCTCGGTGGGCTTTGAAGTAAACGTTGCCGATGGCCACGGTGCAGTCGCACAGGAAGCCGAACTCTCTCTGCACGTTGAGCTGCTGCAGCAGGAAGAGGCTGTGGGACGGGACCTCCATGACCCGTCTGCAACACACACACACACACACACACACACACACACACACACACACA